TTCTCGATGAGGTTGCTAGGCTTGAGCGCTACCTGCTTGGTTCGTATTGTTAATTAACGTCTGTAGTGCTTCTACAAGCAATGCCATTTATGGGGCCACTTCAGCGCAGCTATTGGGGGAGAAGGTCGTCTAATTCTACCTGAGAAGCCGCCAGAGAAATATGGGGGTCTACTTTTACCTGAGGAGCTGCCAAAGGGATAAGGGGGTCTACCCCTGGTGCTACATTCCCAACACCATTCCCATTTTTTAGAACTGGATCTTTATTAGCACGAATTCTTGATTGATCACGAGGAGGCATCGTCTGGAAGGAAAATAATACTAGGGTTACTAATAAGGTTGCTGACCTCTTTAGGCCGAACAGTAGTCCTAATCGGAGGCAACAATTTAAAACATCTAAGATGAAACATGCACGAAGTTAAAGTACAAAGCTATTTAGTCAACTAATGAAGCATCGTATTCCTAACTATTCAAACAAGGCAATCATACAATTCAAACGTAAGCACATAATAGTTCAATGAATCAACCATCAGCAAGATCACAAGTGTGCGTACCTGGTACCTGGTGATGGTGAAGAGATTGAGAAGTACCATTAACACTAAGAATTTATCGAGCTACTATTGGGACCATGGGTACAAATGTTAACGGCCAATGGGTTGCGAATACATCAAGACCTCGGGTAAAAATGGTCAAGGGTCAATGCGATGAGCCTAAGAGGTGGCAACCATTAAGGCCTAGGATATAAATAGTTAAGGACTAATAGATTGCAAAGTCATCGAGGCCTCAGGTACAAATGGTTGAGGGTCGATGTGATGAGTCTAAGAGATGGCAACTATTGGAGCATTAGATACAAGTGGTCGAGAGGTCAATAGGTTACGAAGTCATCGGGGCCTCGAGTACAAATGTTCGAGAGACGTTGTGATGAGCCTAAGTGGTGGCAGCAATTGGAGCCTTGGGTGTAAATAGTCAACGACCAATAGTTTCGAAGTCATCGGGGCCTTGGGTATAAATGGTCAAAGGTCAAACATCAAGTTTCTTTAGAATAGTGTCGAGGTCCTGCGTAAAAATGGTTATGGATTGATACGACTTGAAGAGTTTGAAAGAGTTGGAGAATGGTTTAAGAGAACTTCGAAGAAATTGGAAAGGCTTGAGGAAGCTAAAGACTTAGTGAGACTTTGTAGTTGGAAACCTGGAGTATGAGTCTTTTAGAATGCAAGTTTATGCGTTATGTAATTGATAGAGTCCAGAGCTCTATTATTTATATAATAGAAGGGAATTACAGGTTGAGGGAGATTTCGAGAGCTCCCTATCCTCTCCTATACCACTCACAAGCAATAGCCAAAAAAGATACCCCACCCTTCTAAACAGAAGATTATATAACCAACCCCACTATTCCTTACTCAATGTCAAAAATGTCCTCTAACTAAGTCAGGCCCACAATCACATTCCCTTTCCCTCTATTACCCTTCTTCCTCGCATATGTCCTAACGATTGGGGGTCTATCAGTAATCTGGTTTGTGTTCTTATACGCATGATGATTGAATTAGCATGTTGTATCAGTTATTGTGTGGATGAGCATGTTTTTGTGTGTGGCAGAGTATTCATATACTCACCCCCCCTCCGTTGGGTTTTTTGTCACGTGAAGACCAGGTTTATGAACATGGTAATGACATGGAGGAGATTTGATTGAAGATGACCATAGGCTGCATCATTCTTTGTTAGTAGGATAGGTTGRCTTGAGTTGATGACAGGAAGAGACTTTGGTTGACTTTTCTATTGTTTTTGCTCAGGTTCCTTTGTGCTTGATAAGTAGGTTTGGTTGTTTTATTAAAAAGTACACAAGGGGTATCATAGCCCAGGGGCCCCATTTCTTAGTATTTCACTCATAAAAATCTCATGTATGTAAATATATATATATATATATATATATATATATAATATGTAGTAAAAAATTTATTTGTTGTGGAGTAGAATATCAACCCGACCCTTTTTTAGTATAAAAGTTCAAAAGCAATACCTTGAGATATAAGGTAACTATTGGCCAAGTAACACTACCACCTCCACTTCGTATTGACAATATCACCAAGAAGGGGGGCTTAACACGAAGTGGGCGGTGTTATACCCAATAGCTTACTAAAAGACACAAACGAGCACATAAAAAAAAAAAAGAGAAAGTAGACAAAGAGAAGAAAGGAAAAGCCAAATTTGATCGAGGGAATTTGGTAAAGGAATCAGATCTTAATCGACCCGTGTCTAAGGAAGAGACTCAAAAGTTTCTGATGTTGATTAAAAAGAGCGAATACAAAGTAATCAAGCAACAAACACCTGCAAAGATTTCAATATTATCTTTAATGAAATCCTCTACAGAACATAGAAATACATTACTAGAGGTCTTGAAGCAAGCTTTCGTATCACGGGATATTACAATGAATAACATGAACAATATTATTGGGAATATAATTGCCTCCAACTCCATTACTTTCATGGATGATGAGATATCACAAGAGGACACAAGTCACACTAAGGTCCGTTCATATTTCAATTAATTAAATACAAGAACTTTTTAGTGGCAAAAGTCCTTGTCGACTACGGATCTTCCCTACATAATGCCTAAACATAATGCCTAAATCAACGCTAGAGAAGTTACCTATCGATATATCCCATGAGACCCAGTACTATGATAGTAAACACCTTCAATGGGGCATGCAACGCAGTTGTTGGTGACATCAAGATCCCAATCCCAAATACGCTCTTGAACCTTTGATAGCACTTTTCAAGTTATGGATATTACATCAGCTTATAGTTTCTTGTTAGGACGAACTTGGATACACTTGGCAAGAGTAGCCCCATCAACTTTACATGGCTGGCAAGATAAAGGTAAAAATTGAGTTCCAAAAGGAGAAAATTAAATTTATGGTTGGTCGAAAATTAGGGATTATATCCGATCAAAAAGACATCCTAATCTCAAGACTTACTTCAATGTCATATGTTGAAGCGAAGAATTTTTTACAGTCATTTGAAATTGCAAATGCTACAACTTTACATAGAAATTCAAAAGACCAAAACCACTATTTTTTAAGGCCTCCTTAAAAATGGACGGTAAGAACTTATGACTTGTTTGAATATGTCTAATGATACAAAGAGAGTGAGGTTGTGGTTCAAGCTGAACAGAGTACAAAAACGTGAAAAGGAAAAAATTTTGGCACGATTTGAGAGTTGCGAACCTGAGTACCAAAAGAAGACCATTCCACATCTTTACCACTCTTTCAAAAGTGCAGGCAAAGTTCACCCAAAATGCCACGAGAACTATGCAATTGGTGTCGTAATAGAAGCAGAGGAACCTGGTCATTTGGTTTACCCATGCCTAGAGGGCCTCAAACTCAGCAATTGGAGTGTTATCAAGCTACCATCATTCATTAATAAGATGTCAAAGTAATTGTCCAATTTTTTGCTTTGACTGTTTTCGATAATTTGAGTTCTCATCGTCAAATTTTCATTAGGTTCTATTCTATCCTATTTTCGTTCAATTCAATTTCCATTATTCTTCATCATAATAAAGATTAGTTTCATTCACTTTGCTTCTTTTTCCACATTTGTTACATTCTCTAAGCCAATATATTTACTTGATTTTCTTGTCTTTTTCCCTCGTTATGTCTTAAGTAGTAATACTAAGATTGAATATGATAATGGTTCGATATACGAACTTGATATACCTGTAGACAACATTGTACTCCACCATTCCAAATGAAGTCTCTTGCCAACTTTTCCAACAAGTTAATGACCTCCGAGCACATATTGTGCCGACATTACTATCAAATTTCGATATGAATTTATCAACCATTGGATCCCAAAAGGTGCTCACATGGTGGTTTCGCTCAAAAGAAAAGCATGAGTAAAAAGAGAGGTAACTTCTCACCATGCAGCTAAACAACCTAGCCATAGTCGTCACCCTTTGATCATTAATATTAATAGCAATGAAGGAAATTTTCACAAGATTCAAAGATAAACCTAAACCTTGGAGGAGAATGCACAGGGTGGACCACTATGCTGACAAGTTGTCTTCTATATCAGCGCAAAAGAGGAGCGTATCATCCGTGTATTGGAAATAGGTAATTTCCATGGGGGAATCTGAACCTAAAAACCCTTCAGCACCTATCTTTCACAGCAATAATGAATGGTGTGACTAAAGTCCCCAATAATCATGAAAAGAAATGGAGAAATGGGGTCTTCTTGTCTAAGATCCCTGTTGGCTACAATTTATTCCCACGTCTACCATTGATAAGCAAAGAAAAGTTGCTCATGGAAAGGCAACCCAAAATCCCACCTTCTCCATTTTTTGCCAAGGCCTTTAAGCTGACGGACAAAGTCAAGATAATCAATCAACTTTATCATAAGCTTTCTCGAGGTAAAGCGTAGAAACCTTTTTTTCTTTTTTGATCTCCACTCTTCTACTACCTCTTGCACCACCAAAATAGCATCCAGATCTAACGCCCCTCCACATAAGTGGCCTGACTGACATCGATGATAGAGAGAAAAACCTTCTTCAATCTCTCTACTAGCATCCAAATCTAATGTCACTCCACAAAAACAGCCTAACTGTTATTAGAGGGATAAACCTTATTCAATCTCTCTGCCAAGAAATTCGCTATGATTTTATTGTAAAAGCAACTTCTCATTTGGACAAAAGTAAAGCACAGTGAGGTGTTCACCTCACTGACAGTTGCCCGTCAATGCCCTCCTTTATATTGATGCATAGTCTCTAAGTTTTTAACCTCAAATTAAATCCAACAAGTAAAAACAAGGATTGGTAGAAAATAACTGAGGTCTTACGAAACTTCAAGTTTCCATAACCAAAGAAAGGGGAGGGAAAGCCCAAAGGCGTGAACCAAAGACCCTAAATAGGTTAGAATCTATCTTTTAGACCATTAGAATATATATATATGTATGTATATATATATATATATATTTTATAAGAAACTAGACTTTCATTATCAAAGAGTAGATACAAAAAAGGGGAGATGAGATATCCCCAAAGGCCAAGGGATTACAAAAAGGCTTCCCAATTGGCAAAGATTTGAGTAAAACCATAATTACAAAAGGGATTGTTAATAGACGCCCAGGAGGAAGCTGAAATTCTAACATTCTCCCAAAACATTTCCTTGTTTGTTTCTTGACCTAAGAAGCATCTTTTGTTACGTTTAAACCACAGTCTCCACACTAACCCGACTATCCCAAAGGTCCAAATAAGACTGGCCTGCCCCTTAGAAGTCGTTCCTTGAAATAATTGTGAAAGAGCTTCGGCTGCACTGCTGGGGAAGCACCAACTCACGTTGAAAATCCTGAAAAGGTCCCCAGCATGCTAAGGCGAAAGGACAATCAAAGAGAAGGTGCCATTGGTTTTCTTCATTATTTTTGCACATCACACACCAGCTAAGGGAGAGACAGACAATGGGCATCGCCTTTTGAAGCCTGCAGCAAGTTTTAATCCTTTCGTGCATCATCAACCACAAGCAAATCTTGACTTTTTTGGGAACCTCAAGCTGCCAAATAAAGCTCCCTTTGAACCCTCCTGTCATAGAGCGCTGCTGTAAAAGACCGGTCATGAGGGATTTAACTGAGAAAAAACCATTGTTCTCGAGCATCCACACACTCTTCTATCAAAGGTTGTGGAAGGAGCCACACTTGCAAGGAGGTTAGATAAGCTTGCCCATTCTTCAACTTCCGGATCAGACAGGTTCCTCCTAAACAAGAGATCCCATCTTCTATACTCTTCTTTCCAACATTGAGCTATTGGAAGGACCTTTGAGGCTGCCACTCTAAACAGCCTTGGAAAGGCTCTGGCTAACGGTTCATCTAACAACCAAGGGTCGTTCCAGAACATGGTTTTATCTCCTTTTCCCACCTTCGTCTTATACCACGCTTCTGCTTCCTTGCACGGAGGAAGAATGCTCACCCAAGGCCCCTTGGATTTAACCACACCTTTCAACGCTGGCCACCATTCTTTATCAGTGAGATTGTATTTACTTGCAATTACCCATCTTCACAAAGCCTTGCTTTCTGTCATGAATCTCTACCCCCACTTGGCAAGGAGGGCACAGTCTTGCTGTCCAAGTTGCCTACACCCAAACCTCCTTTCGACTCAAGGTCAGAAGCTATCTCTCATCAGGTAGGATTGGGGCCACCTCCCTCTTAAGAAGAAATTTATAATCAAATGCTAGAGGTGCTTTGAAACTTGCCTCGGGCATGTGAACAAGGAGAACAAAGAATTCCACTTGGCTAGCTTCCTCTCCACCTTCTCTTCAATGGGTTGCCAGAAGGATTTTTTGCTGGGTTTCCCACCCAAAGGCATGCCTAAATAGGACAAAGGCCAAGAACTAGCCTCGCACGCCCAGCTACTAGCTAAGGCATCTAAGCTCTCTTCTGAAATATTGATCCCAGCCACCTGAGTCTTCCTCATATTAATTCTGTAATAATATTATACATAGCACAGCTACAATATTAACTTACTGTCTTCATATTCACCTACGGATATAACAGTTGGCTTAGAAACATAATTTGTTAACTTAAGAAAAATAAGACAGTTTCAAATTTTTCTACATATTACATCTTTCACATAATGTTTGCAGCATTTAAAAACTTTTACTCCCACTTTAGTCTTGAGTGATCATGTAACTTATATTGCTACCATGAGTTCACCCAAAAATCTCAAGGACAAACTAATTTTTGAATTCAAGAAGTGGTAAATCAAACGATAATTGACTGAAAATGTGCATCAAATCAACTGAATCAAACATTCAAGATAAGGAAAACAAATTATGTACCTTTACAAGGTAGCTTTTACTCCTCCCTTGACCATTGTCCACTCTTCCCACCGGTTTTACTTTCGAGTCGCACATTTGTGATCTGTATATCTTTCGAAGCTGCTTTGCACATGTCATAGACGGTAAGGCCAGCAATGGTCACTGCTGTCATTGCTTCCATTTCAACTCCTGTTTTCCCAGTTGATGCAGCTTCTCCTTCTATATCCACACTGTAATTTTCAGGATTCATATGAAGGTCGACTCTAACATGTGTCAGAATTATGTTATGACAAAGTGGAATTAGAGTGCTTGTGTGTTTTGCTCCGCATATTCCAGCAATTTTAGCGACACTGAGGACATCTCCCTTGGCCATCTGATTAGCTAAGACCAAATCGAACACCTTCTTGCCAAGAATTACCTTGCAACTAGCAATTGCAATTCTTTCGGTGCTTTCTTTCGGCGAAACATCCACCATTTGAGCTTCCCCAGCTCCGCCAACGTGGGTCAAAAACAGGGCACTTTCATCCGCTTGAGAGATTTTCTTGGACTTTTCAGCTGTAAAATTGTTACTTGAAGAACCTGAAATCCCACTAGGAGGAGGCTCTCCAAATACTGATTCCATCTCCTAAACAAATATTATGCAGTTGGATGAGAAAAGATACACAGACTACGGCTTTAAAAACAAACTACACAGCCAAAATAAGTATTTGCATAGGTAGAAGAAATGGCAATTCATAGCATACAGTTTAAAATTTTTCGTTTTATCGCTTCATCAGTGATATAACAGTATATCAAAGCTAATATTTGTACAGGGTTTTAATGCAACAACAGACTACCTCATACTGCAAAAGTATGTAAGAGACCACAAGTTGAAGTCTCCTTTTTCCGTTCAAGTCCAGATCACCTACCACGAAGAAGGGGAGCAAACCAAAAGCAATGGGCAGAAAAATGTTATCCAGCAAATACTATATCATGAGTAAGTTTGCTATAGCTTTTGAGTAATATTTTCAATCGAGTAAAGTATGATAAGGTGGAAAAAAAAAAAAAGGCATCTATGTATTTATTCTACCCACAATAGCAGCGGCCATAGAATGTCCAGATACAGAGTATATCTGTTTTCTAATAAATGATAGGAGAAATCCCTAATGAAATTTCCCTTTTTCCATATTTTGTACAGCAGTTCATACTTGTCCCGCGTCTCAGACAAAGTTTGTTTACATGATAAAATAAAATTCGAGTTCTGAACAAATGCTATTAATTGAAATCGAAAATACCTTGTTGAATTCAGCAATGGAATTTGCTAAATCATGGTTGCTGTTGCTGCTAAACAGCCTTCTTGATGAAGGAAGTACAGCTCCCAATCGACGAAGAAACATTCAATCGGGAAAAAGAATTTTCAAACTGCTGCCATTGAATCAATATTTTGTAAGATTCGAAGAACGACGAACTTTACTGTGAATGCGAAGAGCCAGATGAATATGACAATGGGTGGGTAGGGAATTTATTTTCTGTTTTGAAAATCAAAATTTAATTTTTTGTTTTTTTTGTTCACCATTTTTTCCCATTTTCTCTCAGCCTTAAAAGATTAAAATCTTTGGTTGATTTTTTTTCCTTTTTTCTTTACCGTCAAAATTAAAATCTTCCATTTAATTGTTTTCTAACTCAAAATCGCTAACTAATTTTTTTTTCTCTCTCTCTCTCAAAATCAAAATTTCAAGAACTTGAGTTTAATTTTTTCTTTCATGTTTTTCTCTCTCTCTCTTGTTCTTAATAATTTCTCTCTCACGTTTTCTCTCTATCTTCGGTTAAATCGAATCACGTTTTCTCTCTATCTTCGGTTAAATCG